ACCGTGCAATGCATCAGCTACCAGAAAGTTGACGTCAGGTTCAATCTCGACCGAGGCAATGATTGTGTCCTCATGTTCTTGTTGATGGGTATCAAATAGGCGTTTAATTTGCATGTCGTAATCCATTCACACAATGTGTGCTTCACAGGGAGTCCATGATCGTTTACTACCTTTGTGAACTCTTGGTAAACCTGCATTCTTTCGCCCATATCGTAGGAGTGGGTTGGATTTTCCCCATCGCTGACTCCACAGCCTTACAAGTGGTTTGTATGTTTGATTTGCCGTGTATTCTATCCACCTTTAGGCTTCGACATATGCTTTGCACGGTCAAAGTGCAAAGTATTGTTGCAGGATTGGACCAATACGTCACCGGCGTTAGCTGCTAGCAAACATCAAGTGGAAGTGGTGGATCAGTTCACTTATTGTGTTAGCTGTGTCACCTCTGGTTGTTACATCAGTGAGGAAGTTGCTTCGCGTATCAGCAAGGCCTGTGTGACTTTTCAGGAGCCCAACCATCTATAGAGACCCTAGGATCTCAGTCTGTCAGTGAAAGGTAAGGTGTATAACATTTCGACGGGACTAGTATTACTGTATAGGTCAGAGACCAGCCTAGTTCTTACTGAAGACATTAAACGCTTGGTCATGTTTGACCACCGGTGCTTTCCAAGTATTGCTCACGACAGGTGAGCAGTGCTGAAGTCCGCCAGTTGGTTTTAGGCAAGCCTCTTTCTTGTGCCTCACTCGAGTATTTACTTATACTCAGTCGCTTAGATTGGCTAGATCATGTCTTCTGTATGCCCGTCAACTGGCTTCCTCGGCGTGCGTCAGGCGTCTTAGCTGCACTAGGTTGGGCGAAAACGCTAGGTGACTCGTCCATACCGTGATATAAAGGCATTAAAAATTGGCTGGGTGAGTTGTTTAGGTTAATGCGTGCGGTTTTTGTGGATTGGTCTCTGAGATGGTCTACACCAGCGGTTGAACAGTCTATCAGACATGGCACAGTCAGTGGCGTTTCTGAATTCGGTTTATGCATCCAGTTGTTAATTTTATATCCCGACTGGTTTGATCCACTTCATTTTTGATTCCATTTTCTTGTATTCTGCATGCAGTCAACCTCATCTTCTTATCGTTGTTATTTATTGATATTCTAACGACGTGCTCCGTGTCAACTGGACTCAACGCACTACGGTGCCCAGATCTTAATTGTTCAACTGGACTGTGTATCCACAGCTCAATTTCTATGCACAGTTTACCACCTTCCTACGGAGTGTGCCGCGACCATTTCTCAAGCCATGCTAGGCTGTTTGACAGTACTAACCAGCGGATAGACGCTGGCCCGTTTTCTGTCTAACAGGCTGACGTATAAATGTGCGTTTTTGTTTCATAGACTAGAGCTTACATCACGAATTTTCCACTTAGCCGAAAAAAGAACACTAGTACACATCCTAACGAACCGCGTATATAAGATCTGTAGCGAGGACACTATTGAGGACAAACTGCGGCATATCAAACAAGCACTTCTCGAGAATGGGTATCCTGAACGCTTCATTGACACTCATATGAAGCATAAAGACGCAAACGGTCAAAAAGCAACAAGTGTTTTTGACTCTTCCTTTCACGGGCGACAACGCAGCGAAAATCTGTAAATGCAGGCTGATACAACGCTGCAGAAAGACTTTTAACGCAGCTGATCTAAATGTGATTTATACGAGCCAACCTCTATTTGTTCCGGAATTCAAACTCCAACTGTCTGACCGTCTCCACTCTATGATAATTTATCGGTTTACCTGTTCCTGTGGGTCTAGGTACATTCGACGAACAACCAAACACCTTGGTTATGGAATCACAGAATATCTCCCGAATTGGCTCACCAACCAGAAAAACACAACCAGTTCCAATTCAGTAACAAACCATCTGATGGACACCGGACACCAAGTTGACAAACAAATCGCTTTTGACATCGTGTACTAAGTACCACCATACCTGAACAACAGAATAAGGAATCATCTGCTTGCTACCGCGGAGGCAGTACGTATAAGACTGATGAATCCAAATTTATGTATCCAAAGGAAGATGGTTTAGTCGCTACAAGTGCGTTGACCAGCCACAAATAAAAGGATGGGATCACATCCCATCACTCATATGACATCCGTAACCTAGTCATCTGACCAATGCCGGGAAACCACTTTGAACCGTTTACTCAATTGTACTGCCTTACAATACTCTAACCATTTCCAACTTTGCGCCTTATTGTAACGACCTGATGATGAATTAATCGAAGGCAATTGTTTGTCGAAAGTTTACCGCTCATTTTCCTCTTTGGGAAATCATGAGTAGACATAGGATCGACCCACACTTCGACTGTCCACTGAGCACTTTCTGCGTATAACGGAGCATCGATTTTTTGTTTACTTGTGGCGACCACGCATCATCAGCTCTCACAGCAGCAGATGTTTCAACGGCCACCAGATTATTTTGCATACCAGAGTGCTTCAACACCAACAGCGTTCCGGAAACTCGGAATAACGGATAGCATGGCAGTCTGTATGTACATAGGGTGAATGAAAAGTTTCAAGCTTTAAAAGCACCAACCGAGATACAGATTCTTCGATGCTTTTATTGTTCAGCATAATCATCCTTAAGTGCAACACACTTGCTCCAGCGGTGCTGAAGCGTCTTCATCCCCATGAAAAAAGCTCTTCAGATTGGTAACTCTAACAACGTTTCTGCGACTTCTTTGACATCACTGTCGTTGAAAATATTTTGATAGCTGAAGATTTTTTAAGTCTGGTAATAGATGAAAGTCATAAGGAGCCAGATTTGGTGAATAGGGTGGATGAGGGAAAGGCTTGAAGCTCAATCATGGATTGTTTTCTGAGCAGTAGAACGGGTGTGAGCTACAACGTTGTCACTGTGAAAAGTGACTCCTTTCCCCTCAGTATTCCTGGCTTCTTTTCTCGAATTTTCTGTCTGAGACGTTTTAGATGCTCACAGTAACACTTTCCGATGGTGCGACCTCTTTCAAAGACATCAATCATCACCACACCTCGGGAATCTCAAAGAATAAATGCCGTCACCTTGCCAGCTGACGGCGTAATCTTGACCTTCTTTGGCGTAGGAGATGATGTACGCACCTATTGCTTTGATCGTGCTGTTCTTTATGATTATTCCATATTGGGGAATTGCGCAAGGAAGTTATCGGCATCTGTCTCAAGCAGTTCTAAACTGTTCTTTGACATCACATACCGAATGTGCTTCTGCTCAGGAGTCAGGAAACGTAGCACCTATCGAACGGGAACTTTTGAGCAACCTAATTCCTTCATGAGAATAGTATCTGCTCGTTTCTGGGAGATACGCAACCTCTCTGCTATCTGACGAGCTGTTAATCAACGATCTTGCATGATCATATTCACTGCTCGGTCAAGATTTTCTTTGGTGTTGGTGCTTGATGGTCTCCCTCACCTGTGCTCATTTGCAATACTCTTCTATCCTCATTTGAAGCCTTGCACCCAACAATTAACTGTGGCAGTTGAAGGGGCATTGCCGTGCAATGTATTGAGCATATCGTGGTGGATTTCAGATGGTGACAATCTTTGAGATAAAACTATTTGATCAACGCGCCATACTCCAATTTCTCCATTTTCGCTACATTGCAGAACCTTTGCACTACAGGAATCTGCTGAAATGAAAGTAAAAGAGGTAGAAGTATAGATTTGTATAATGTGAATAAGGCAGATTGGTAAATGATAAAAGAAACTTTATTTGACTTGCCCAGCTCGAAACGTTTTATTCACTCCACATATGCACCCGTGTATTCCTCATGTTGAGGTTAATGGTACCTATTTTCTGCTTCTTCGCCGCAGATGGGCTACAACGACATACACTTACGCTTGTTCCGCATTACACTATATGTGGCCGATTCCATTTCATTTTATTCGCTCAGCTATCTGTCACACAATTAATGTCCACTTTGCATATTCATGTTCCTTCCTATCCTGTGTTGTTTGCTTGATGTGAATATTACAGTGTGCCTACCTGTCGAAAAACCGCTGCCTTGATTCTACTGGCTGCAGGAGATTGAGGGTCATTGCTTAGGGAGACGAGCTATACGGTCCTCGTGACCGTGCTATGCTCAAAGAGTGATTCCATCCAGTGCGGAACGGGCTAGGGCCCACCCACCGCCTTGTGTACGTCTGCTACGCATGATTTCCTAATTAGGCAGGAATGTTTCTGTGCTGCTTGTTGAAGGAGTGTGGGCCGGCTCCGTTGATGAAACGTGGCTCCCATCCACATGCCTCCCGGTCTTATTTCTTCGCGTTTACACTGGATATGGAGTGTGTGCATGAAGCTGTGATGCAACACAAACCATCTATGGTCCCTTAGTATATGCAAGCTTCCTGTGGCTATCCTATGGAGTCCGCAGTGACAAGCAAGTTTGGAACTGGATGCCGCCAACCATGTGTATAAATCAGTCACTTAATCACGCTCGACTGTTGTTGATCTGCAAAAAATGTGTGAAATCGGTTGGAAAAAGCAGGCACCTGGTCTTTCAATTCAGTTGTAGGTTAATCACTTATTCCGGTTTTGTTCGGAAACATGGACAATGATTCATGCTTTAATGCTGTTTCAGCTAATCTATCCGTAATTTGATTTAGTTGAGCGTAAAGAATCAGACAGTCTCGAGACGCCATAGGCTTGTTACTCAAGTAGGCCGATAATCGACGCCAGATTTTGATAATTTGCTTTAAAGTATTCTCCAAGAACGCATCGGCTAGTCATGTTTCTTGTTTGTGTGCACTGGAAATTTGCTATCTTCCACTTGTTTGGGACAGCTTGTGATAGTTTTGGTCCGCTCCGTGCACCCGTTTCAGTTCCCAAACACCATGCTCTCTCTGATTATCGCAATTATCCTAGCCTCTCGCAGGGGAATTTTCAAGTCATTGTAACGCGCATTTCCCGACGTACTTTATCTCCCTTAACATTTATCCATCCGTCTACAGACCACCGCACCCACCGTGCGAACATTTTTCCGACGCGTCCCATGCCGGCATACTCACGGTCGCACTCTCTGCCGACACTCGCGATGCAGGCGATTGAAATGGCATTCTAAAGCTGGTGGCCTACACTCTCAAGCCGATACTGTCTCGACCAAATCCACAGGTTCCAGCTCCGAAGGACCGGAGCCCGATGCGCATGTGCTCACGTGTCTTCAGGATTGCGTCCAACGCATTCGCGAACCGTTCACACCGGAGGAACAGTTGGAAACCGGTGTGGCAGTTACGTTGGAACAGGAGTACAATCGTATGGACGCATGCATCCGGCGGATTATTCGTGTGGTAAAGCTGTTGCCCTTCTTCGGTGAGATTGGCAAAGCTGCACAACTAACTCTATTGCGAGTGAGTGATTCTTGAGTCGGTTTATCGATTCGTTCAGGACGCAGTTCATGAAATGCGTATATTCAAACTTATTTGGATTTGTTCCATCCATGCTTACCTAAATATTGTTATTTGGTCGATCTCATGCATCACGACCCGTTGCATCGATTTCAATCATTTGCAATCATCGTGTTGCGCAGTGAATGTCACGCACACGCTTCGATTACATCCACGCTATCGGATGCAATTCGCCGATTGGCCTTGGCTACAATGTGAGCCGCTCAACTCACGTTTCACCTTTGCTTCAGCTCAGCAGTTGGTGTACGTGCGCTCCGTGATTGGAGCCTCATTCACGAAGCCTGGCTCTGGGCTGACCAGCACGCATATCGCTTACCTTACAGCGCAGCCCATCTTTTGCCGTTCTGATTCCCTTGCATTGTTTCCAGATAGTCAGCTGAGTGTGTTTTCTGGCTTCGTCCTACAGAAGCTCATCAATACGAAGCCTGACAATGTGCAACTGTTGCCTAAGCGGTTAAAATGCACTATGTGAATATTTCACAAGGTGTCTATATGTCTGATATTCACCAAATCCTTGGCCACTGTTGAGTAGTATCGTATTTTCGCTATTCCAGTTATTGTACATGGTTGGCTGCGACACATCGGGCGCCTCACTTCACACCAGCGTCGCGGATTTTTGGATCAGCGTGTGCTGGATACTACTTTTGCCTCAGATTACTGTGTTATCAACGTTTTATCTGTGTGAAGTGTGCACCAATATTCTTCTTTTGGTGTATTTTCCAAGCGGTGCAAATTTGGCGACTATTCTTTGGCTAATTCCGGAGATCTCATTGATTTGCCCTGCTGCCATTTCTGTCCGCCATCTTGGATTTGCTCTAGCTTGTGATGCCGTCTCAAGGTACTTGTGGTTCGTGTTCGAAAGTTGTGGGAAATAAGGCTCATTCACTTCGGTGCTTCGGCTGTGGTGTTTTGTTCCATATTTCGTGCATTGGCTTATCCGTTGACGTGTTTCGAAAATCGCTCGACATCCGCCATCGGTTTTTCAAGTTATTTGTGGTAAATGTCGCGGTACAAGATATCAGAATACTCAGCGACCGCAAACAACTATGGGAAAATCTCTCTTTCAGATAAAAACAAACCGTTCACCACGTGGGATCTTACGCCCTCGTGAAAGTACCTCTGTCACTTCGCCTTCTATTGTCAATCTGCGATCTGCACCACCACCAGCGTCTTCGATCCCGGCCGTGCCCCAGGTTCAATGTTCCCTACCGATGGAGGACTCAGACTCGAAAGCTACGAAATGCCGCTTTACTGATCGGTCCGTGAATTTCTCAGAGCCTGTCTGCGAACTTCTGAACACCGAGGATCCATGGACCACACGAAAACGCAAGGGCCCAGGTAATCGAGTTCAGACGTCATCTGCTGATAAACTACAACCCAATCAGTTAAGCGCCTCTAGTTCTGCTCCCACAGGTTCATCACTGATTTCGCTGAGGCGTCATAATCTCATGGTCTTCCACGTACCAGAGTCAAAAGATCAAAACCCTCAGATACGTTATGCTCATGATGTTGAGTTCCTCCAGGGGCTCCTCAATAGACTCTTGGATGTGGGCGAAGACAGTGTGACGATTAAACAAGTAATCCGACTTGGCCAGAAAACTAACCAGTCATGTCGATCTCTGAGAATCACCTTTGCAATTCCCTATATGCCGCAGCTCATACTGTCTCGTCTGCCAAGACTGAAAGGCATATAAGTTCACATCCGCCGAGACTTGGAACCCGAAGACAGGGCTCGTTTGAAGACTGCGGTCATTGAACTCCGACGTCGTACAGAGGAAGGTGAGACTGACTTACAAATTGTAAATTTTCAGGTGAGCAAGAAGGGTGTACGAACCCGTATCAACCGGTTGCTCAACCTCCAGGCACATCCCGCAGGACCTCCGTGTGGCATTCGCCAACGTGTGCAGCCTAATGATCAAACGTGACGAACTGTGCCGCTTCGTTGTCTCGGAGTGGCCGGACGTTTTAGGACTTGCAGAGACTTGGCTGAACTCCGACGTCACACCCCAAGAAGTCGTGTTGTCAGGATACTCTTGTTTCCGATGCGACCGAAAATCAAAGGCTCACGGTGGTATCCTGTTGTACATAAAATCGTCACTATCTGGCAAACTTACCAGCACCTATCGGAGCGAGGATAGTTTATGCGAGCAATTGTGGTGCACAATCAGCCTCAGGCGCGCAGAACTAATAGTGGGGGTTATCTACCGGAGCCCATTAAATCGTTGTTGCGATTAGCTACCACATGTACAGAAGCACATGAGCCGCCCTCAGTTCTTACTGATGGGAGATCTAAATTTACCTAAGATATTTTGGCCAGACGTTCGACTTCTTCCCGGTCATGGCAACGTTAAGGCTCAATTCGCTAAAATGACTATTGAAATCGGGGCAACGCAACATGTCATCCAACCGACGCGTGTAACTCCGCACTCGGCATCTTGTCTGGACCTAATGTTTACGAGCTGCGAGCAGAAGCTGAACGAGATCAGAGTCCTCGAACCTCTGGCGAACAGTGACCACTGCTCCACTGTGACATACATAGAACTGCCGTTAACGTATTACAACCAACGGAAGCCGACATTCAACTATTGAAAGACGGACTTCAACGGGCTCCTCCAAGCCGCAAGTCAGACTGATTGGACACTACCACAGGATGCGTCACTTGAGGCCTGGTGGTCATTAATAAAAGGGAAGCTTAACTCGCTCTGTACTCGGTTCGTTCCCCTTAAGTATTCACAAATCGGACCTGTCAAACCGCATTGGCTTTATACGGAATATAGAGATTACACTGCATATCTCGACGCACTGATGATGCCGTCTCGCATGACGGTGAAACGTTTGCAAACCAATTTCGCAGCTCGGCGAACAAATGAGCAATTTTAATATAGACAGTTAGCGCGACGGCGTCGCAAACTTTTGGAGAGATACATCAGCTCGGGTTGTGATGAAGATTACACGGTGTACAAGAAACAGCGTAATTTATGTAACGCCGCAAAGCTCAAGAAACGCCGGCAGTTCGAAGAGGAGCTAGCATCCTCGGCCACAACTGCACCCAAAAGAATATTTGCCTAATTGAAACGTCAACTTAAACCTGGGGGTGACTTACCGGTCTTAGAGAGCTTGGACGAAAAGACGCTCATTTCAAGCGCGGAGCGCGCGGACGCCTTGGCTACGCACTTCCTCACTGTATTTCCCAGTAAACCGGCGGCGGTTTCAGTACCGGCACAGGTTGCGCCAATCTTGCTCGACAGCCTACAATGTGATGCAGTCGAAGTGCATCAGCTACTCGTTAACCTTGATGGTGCAAAGCCCCCCGGATCAGACGGACTTCACCCACTAATACTCAAGTCCCTATGGATTATCATCTCACCAGCCGTGACAAACCTTTTCAATAAATCGTTCTCTGAAGGATCTGTCCCGAACGACTGGAAATGCTCGATAGTGAAACCGCTTCCCAAGGGTGGTGATCCGAGTAGACTAGAGAACTATAGATCGATCTGTTTGACTTCGGTATTATCCAAAGTTCTCGAGAAGGTTGTGAAAAAGTGTCTGCTATCCTTCTTCGAATCGATGGACGTATTGACGTCAGCGCAACACCGCTTTACGAAAGGGCGATCCTGCATCACCAACTTGATGTACGCAAACCACCAGTGGGTACGAGCTCTCAACAAACGGAAGGATGTTGACGTGGTGTACATCGACTTTAGTAAGGCATTTGACAGAGTGAACCACGAGGTACTCCTTCATAAAATGAGGACATGCGGAATCGGTGGCACGCTACTTCAGTGGTTGCACGAGTTTATTGTGGGACGAAGGTTTAGAGTACAGATCAATGACTACCTGACAGACTGGTTCCCATCGACCAGTGGCGTGCCTCAAGGAACTGTACTTGGGCCAGTATTATTTTATTCAAATCCACAATCTTCCGCAGGAGCTCCAATCACCATGTGCCCTGTTTGCAGATTATTTGAAAATCTGGAGGACCATTGAGAACCAGGACGACTGCGCTCGCCTCCAGCATGACTTAGAGCGACTGTCAACGTGGTCCACTGAAATGCAACTCCCTCTTAACGCAAACAAGTCGGAGTTCATCAGTATCACCAGACGTCCAGCCACTCGATCATACACCTTGGACGGCCAGTTGCTCCATCCCAACACATCTGTCAGAGACTTAGGAGTTCTCTCACGGCATGATATGAGATCACTAGAAAATACAAAGAAATTATGCCGTGCGGGACTTCGTATGCTCTGGGCATTAAGGCGCAGTTTCTCCACATGGTCCGAAGAAACCGTCCCTCGTCTATTCACCTCGCTCATTAGACCAATCCTTGAATAAGGTGCCCCAGCTTACCATCCAATAACCCAATAGGAAACTGAAAAGCTGGAGAAAATACAGCATATCGCAACTAGAATGATACCGACCCTACGAAAGCTTCCGTATGAAAGACGTTGTGAAAGGCTCGGACTCTACACACTATCCTATCGCCGAGTAAGGATTGACCTTATTATGACCCATCGGGTACTACACTTGAATCACTTCCCCATACTGCGGCCAATATTTCACCTGCGCGAACCCTGTAACACCCGAGGACATCGTTACAAACTCAGGGTCCCCAGCATGAACAAAGTATCACATCAGCTTTGTATCGAAAGAAGAATCGCAAACTTATGGAATACACTACCTGAAGGATTAATAGAGGCCGATTTTGTGAAGTGTTTTAAAACCCATATCGACGATTATTTTGGAAACCTGTGCTTTTGTGAAACGATGCACATACAGTGTCAAAAGATGACATTGTATGCCCGGAAATAATGACATTATACAAATTTCTAACCGAACAAGGATAAACGATTAACGGAACAGACACAACTGCTGATAATTCAAAATTTTGATTTTTCGTAATTCGATAGAGTTGTACTGAAACCTTTCTACTTGCTTTTAACTACTGTCTCAGCAAAGGAATACGATATCAATCTCAACTATGGGAATGCTGTGTTCCCAAGCCGCTCTTGTGTTCCATCCCTACGTTTGATTCCTGTCATCTCTCGATGCTGCACCGCTCCGCTCCGAGTGCATTGGGTAGCTACCTTGCATCCTCTCGATCTGATTCACTCGAGTTGACGCAACGGCGCTCCTCAGCTTAAAAATAGTAAGCTTGTTGTACAATCTGACTACACTGGTCCGAGCCTGCGTAGGGACAGGGCGACTTTCGCAGTATCCTTAGCCCACATACAGTTGGTGGTAGTTGCGCGGCAGCGAACCAGCAGTACTGCGTACCGGCATGCCGCGGATGTCTTTTGACGCAACGACATACAACTTCCGGTCACATACGGATGCAGACTTCTACCAGCTTCAGTCCTTGCGGTGCGCAGCTTTGAAGTGGGATCTCGCTCTGCGTGTCCTGCTCTTGGCACAATGGAGGAGTTGACTTGGATACGGAGTTACATGAAGTACCACATGAATTCGATCGATTG